TCCGTTTGCGCTTTTTATTTTGCGCTTTTTTTCCCGTTTGGCTTTTTTCCATTGCGCGTCTTTCTGGGAACCCTCTACTTCTGTTCCCTATTTGCTGTCCCTTCTTCCATTCCTCTAGAGCTGCTTTTACTTCCATTTCCCCACTTATTATAAATACTTACTTTCCATAATTGCTATCTATAGTACATTCCCCTCTTTCTATCTATACTTACATTCTCTACTTGCTATCTATACTTACATTCTCTACTTAATATCTATACTTACATTCACACTCCCTATTTGCTGTGTTTCCTCATAGATAAAAAAAAAGTCCTCATCACATCTTTACTTCATCCTTGTGAAATGTTGTTTATAATGGGCTTTTAAAATTTTTGAATATAATGGGGTTTAAGATGTTTTTGGTTACCTACTTTCATCACTAACATGACAAGAGGATTTAGATTAATATTTTATGTTCAAATAGTAAGGCCATTGACATTTGTCAAGTAGGGCATTTGGTACAGCCCATGCCAGTTATGAAAAAAAAAAGAAAATTATTAATATCATTTATGATATTATTTTTATTATATTTATGGGATTAATTCATATATTTTTTTTGTTTACTTTTAATTTCCTTGTTCTATAAATAGAACACCGGTGGTGATCTCCCCTAGAAGGCCACTCTCCTACATCCCACTGAACAGTTTTTCAATTTATGTCCCCTCTGAACCCAAACACCCCAAGAGGTCAAGGTCACTGGATAAACCAGTCCCATGCCTGTATGTTAAAGATGTGGAGCCGGCCCCACCCTTGCCCCCGCCCCCATTAACCAAAACCCCAGCAGATGACCTGGCCAGAGAGCTGCCGCCCCCTCCACCACCCCCACCCCCAGATTTTATATCCCTCCTCTCAGTGATCCCCCTACCGCCCCCTCCCCCTCTCTCTGAGCTTTTCGACCAGCTGCCACCAAAGACCAAGCAGGCTCATAAAAAAAAACCAGCCCCACCCCTACCCCCACCCCCTGTAGCAGGGACACTGAACAATACCACCACAGTGAAGAGCTCTGTAAACAGCTCTATAGACAATGATGTTGAGACTGTCTCCTATGTCTCAGACACAGATGGGTAAGACAGGAACATGCAGCATGAACGCCCACTTCACAGAAACATCCCCCAACCCCCACCGCCTTTTCTCTCTCATCTTAACCTACTAATATTTAAACCAGTATGGCTTGGGATCTGTATTTTACTCTATCAGTATCCTTCAATTGTTTTCTTTCTATCTTGATCTGTTTTGTTTTTTTTTTATTTCTGTCTTTTTTAATTAATGGTGAGTATCTAAAAATTCATTTCACAGATATTTTATCAACTACCCCATTTCCCTACTTCTATAAGAATTAAAAAACAAAATTGAGCACTAACAGATTTGTACTGGATTATTGCATGCAGTCACCTACATTGTAATCTGCTCCTTATCCCAGTTGTTTGAATATTCATGAGTCTTAGAGTAGCTGTTTTGAAAATAGACAGTTGTTCTTTTTACATCATTAATTCATATAAATTTTAAAACTCATTATTTTTTTTATTCATCATTTAATTTTTTTTAAACAAGAATAATTTAAGTTTAAAAAAAAACAATAAACAATTGTTAATTTAAATTTAAATGGGCCTTGAATTCCAAAGGGAAAGTACTCCACATATTTCACATTTTCTTAGAATCATTGTGGCCTAAAGGATTTTCTTACTTACTAACCATTTCTGTGTTTTAGTAATTGAGATATCAAGACTTTATTTTATCTGTGATTTTAAGGCATTGTCTTTTTCAATGAAAGTATATCACCATGCAAGCAATAAATTTGTTTACATTTAATAAAAAACTATAAAACTCTTATCAAATCAAAACTTTAAAAACCAAGCACAACCAGGATTTAACACTTTCTGGGATTTACTGATAAAAAGTGTAAATTTTTAAGTGATGCAATGTAGCTATTTTATCTAGTTTTTCAATGTATATGCCACTATTAATAATTAAATGCCTTAAATTTGAATATATTTAATATAATTCAAAATAACATACTTAAGTTAATAAATGTACAATTTGTTAGGAATGTAACTAATTATAATGTTACCTTTAGTAAATAAACAAAAATTGCTTTATTTGCCTAAATATTCAGCTGCACCTTTTTTGTTGGTGTTATAATTTTATATTTTTTCTGCCTTTTAAAGTCCTTTTCAAATAACAATGCACAGAGTTGAGTGTTTCTAAAATAAAAGTCAAACACTTCTTCAAAATAAAAGAAATTTTTTTAAAAATTCTCAGAAAAATTTTAAAAAGTTATAAAGTTATTTTTCTTGTGTCACCAGGTCGAGAAGTGGAGATGACACCTTTATGAATGGTGACACAGAGAGTCTTGATGAAAAACACACAATCATTGCCACGGCTAAAGGCATCTTCACATCCAAGGGTGGTCTTCTGGAGTCTAAAGGTGAGGGCATGTACACATCACTGGTCAGCAGAATGGTTTTTTTCAATATGTGTATGGTAGAAAGACCACTGCAATAGTGTGTATGTGGTGTGTCATTTAATCCATTTATGTTTCCTTTTTTTTTGAGTGAAAAATTACAAACAAAAAAATTCTATTGGTTCCACAGAGACTGGTGTTAGTATTTTAATACCTGAAGGTGCTATAGAAGACAACAAAGATCAAGAAATTTATTTTAAAGTGTGCAGAGACAATAGCCTACTCCCTCCACTTGACACTGAGAAAGGTAGGTAACTCCAGCTTTCAGAGGAAGGGACATAACTTGTTGCAGAAGATGACTGTTCACATATGGGATGGCATGACCTAGCTGTAGACCGCTAGACTGCTGCCTCAAAAGGCTCAAGTTCAAATCCTGGTTCTTACCAGTAGAGCGTCCCTGAGTCTATCCAGCTTTGATGGGTACCAACTTCATGTTAAGAAAAGTAAATACAGCTGTCCACAATATCCCTTTATATACCGAGATCATAGAAACAGGTGAACTCTACAGAACTAGCTAGCACAGGGGTCGGCAACCTTTTGAGACAGAGGAGCCAAAAGTTACAATTTACAAAATTTCCCACCTTTTAAAGATATATATATATATATAGGTATGTAGGTGTGGGTGTGTGATTGTCTTTTATTCATTACTACACCTTTCATCCGATCGCCATGAAACTTTAGGAATTTGTTGAGAATACTCCTGAGGAGAATTTCGAATTCGCAGGGGTGGCGCCCCGGCAGGGAGCGATACGGTTTATAAAATTAAAAGTCGATTCCTACCTAGCGGTTAAGGGATACTACTATATTCAGCGGCAAAACTGCAACAGTCACAGCCACCGGCACCTCGTCGATTGCGCGACCTGAAAAACCTTAGGCTCACCTGTGAGCACTATGGCATCTACGTTCGTTTTAAAAAAAGGCTATACACTAAAGACACGATGGGCAACAATAATTGTTGACTTAATTGAATAAGGTGCGCAGGCAGTGAGCAATTTGGCACCCCGAGCTTACCCGTGAGCAACATGGCACTTACATTCATTTACGATACAATGGGTCGCTCACTAAATCGAATCAGGCACATCCTCAGCGTCTCTGCATGGTGCTATTTGGAGCCCAGGGCTATCCCGCGAACACTACGCGCTATGGTAGTTTTAAGGAGCACCCTACAATATTGATAATGCGGCACACGACATTCCATGATTAAACCGAGCTGGGGCTGTACAGTGAGTGATTAACTTATGCTCAAGGCTTTCATACAGCACGCCTTATGGCAGTAGTGTAGGTAAACCAGGGCACCGATAAATATGATCCAAGCACAGGCATTGTTTACATTTAAATAACAACCAAGAAATAGTTTTAAAAATAAAATAAAATAATTATTGATTTTTGTGCTTGAAGCTGAAGAGCCACACCTTGACATCAGAAGAGCCGCATGCGGCCGCAATTTGCTGACCCCTGAGCTAACATATCCCTTTATGACACAGTGTTCATTTTTGTACACATGTATTTTGACCACAAAAAAACTTTAAGTAAAAACAAGAATTTTAGTATTGTGTTTGTCTACTGCATGAAGTTTCATATTTTACTGTTTTGCATTTCCAACATTAAAATTGGAGTTCAAAGTACTATTGACCTCATGTTAATATTTCTTTGTGTTGTATAATATAATCCCTTAACAAGAAAAAAAAACATTTTCTGTTGCAGGTGAAACATTGCTGAGTCCTCTAGTAATGTGCGGCCCCCACGGCATCCAGTTTAAAAAACCTGTGGAGCTGCGTCTGCCCCACTGTGCCTCGGCTAACCCAGAGAGCTGGTCGTTTGCACTGAAGTCTAGCGACTCACCCTCAGGTAAGCTTACAATAAACATTGCTTGCTGACCAGTAAACAAACATGTGAGTTAATAGGGCAGGTGAAGTAGAGTTCACCTACGGCTAACCCAGAGAGCTGGTCGTTTGCACTCAAGTCTAGCGACTCACCCTCAGGTAAGCTTACAGTAAAAACAAACTTGCGAGTTAATATGGCAGGTGAAGTAGAGTTCACCTGCGGCTAACCCAGAGAGCTGGTCGTTTGCACTCAAGTCTAGTGACTCACCCTCAGTTAGGCTTACAATAAACATTGCTTGCTGACCAGTTAACAAACTTGTGAGTTAATATGGCAGGTGAAGTAGAGTTCACCTGCGGCTAACCCAGAGAGCTGGTCATTTGCACTGAAGTCTAGCGACTCACCCTCAGGTGGCTTACAATAAACATTTAAACATTTATTGCTGACCAGTAAAAATGTGAAGTAAATAGTTACCATTTAGGACTTGTGAGTTGATATGGCAGATGAAGTAGAGTTCACCTGCGGCTAACCCAGAGAGCTGATAGATTGTACTAAGATCTAGTGACTTGCCCTCAGGTAGGCTTACACAGGATGTAGTCAACGGAAGATTTATTTATCATCTTTTCCCGTTTGTGCCCAAGACACACGGCAGCTGAAGTAGAGTTCATCTGTGTCAGAGACCTTGGCATATAAAGGGAAAGTGTATTCAGCACTATGCCCAGCCGCCTTTGCTTTCCCTAACATGAGTTAGGTACACATTAGAGCTGGGTGGACTCAGTGGCGTTATACTGACTTGAACCCGGATTCAAACTTGAGACTTTTGGGTTAGCAGCCTAGCGTCCTCATATTATATTGGGCACCAATTATAACTGGGTAGACTCAGGTAAATCCAAGTTGAATATACAGCCTGATAAATGAGTGATCACCACTCCCAACCCACCATCCCATGTATAGGTCGTATCAAATTACAACACAGCTCTCAATGAACTGTGTAGCAAGACTAAATAATACTCTTTCAAACCTCTCAGTTAATCAGGTAAAATAAACAGATTACCTGTTTCTTACACCTAGGTGTATGAAAGGATAAAGTGGCCAGTTCTATATCCCAGCAGCCTTAGTTTTTTTTTTAAATATGGTCAGTTCTATATCCCAGCTGTCTTAGTTTTTTAATATGGTCAGTTCTATATCCCAGCTGTCTTAGTTTTTTAATATGGTCAGTTCTATATCCCAGCTGTCTTAGTTTTTTAATATGGTCAGTTCTATATCCCAGTTTTTTTTTAATATGGTCAGTTCTATATCTCAGCTGTCTTAGTTTTTTAATATGGTCAGTTCTATATCCCAGCTGTCTTAGTTTTTTAATATGGTCAGTTCTATATCCCAGCTGTCTTAGTTTTTTTAATATGGTCAGTTCTATATCCCAGCTGTCTTAGTTTTTTAATATGGTCAGTTCTATATCCCAGCTGTCTTAGTTTTTTAATATGGTCAGTTCTATATCCCAGCTAAGTTTTTTTAATATGGTCAGTTCTATATCCCAGCTGTCTTAGTTTTTTTAATATGGTCAGTTCTATATCTCAGCTGTCTTAGTTTTTTAATATGGTCAGTTCTATATCCCAGCTGTCTTAGTTTTTTAATATGGTCAGTTCTATTTCCCAGTTTTTTTTTAATATGGTCAGTTCTATATCCCAGCTGTCTTAGTTTTTTAATATGGTCAGTTCTATATCCCAGCTGTCTTAGTTTTTTTAATATGGTCAGTTCTATATCCCAGCTGTCTTAGTTTTTTAATATGGTCAGTTCTATATCCCAGTTTTTTTTTAATATGGTCAGTTCTATATCCCAGCTGTCTTAATTTTTTAATATGGTCAGTTCTATATCCCAGCAGCCTTAGTTTTTTTAATATGGTCAGTTCTATATCCCAACTGTCTTAGTTTTTTAATATGGTCAGTTCTATATCCCAGCTGTCTTAGTTTTTTAATATGGTCAGTTCTATATCCCAGTTTTTTTTTTAATATGGTCAGTTCTATATCCCAGCTGTCTTAGTTTTTTAATATGGTCAGTTCTATATCCCAGCTGTCTTAGTTTTTTAATATGGTCAGTTCTATATCCCAGTTTTTTTTTTAATATGGTCAGTTCTATATCCCAACTGTCTTAGTTTTTTAATATGGTCAGTTCTATATCCCAGCTGTCTTAGTTTTTTAATATGGTCAGTTCTATATCCCAGTTTTTTTTTTAATATGGTCAGTTCTATATCCCAGCTGTCTTAGTTTTTTAATATGGTCAGTTCTATATCCCAGCTGTCTTAGTTTTTTAATATGGTCAGTTCTATATCCCAGCTGTCTTAGTTTTTTAATATGGTCAGTTCTATATCCCAGCTGTCTTAGTTTTTTAATATGGTCAGTTCTATATCCCAGTTTTTTTTTAATATGGTCAGTTCTATATCCCAGCTGTCTTAGTTTTTTAATATGGTCAGTTCTATATCCCAGCTGTCTTAGTTTTTTTAATATGGTCAGTTCTATATCCCAGCTGTCTTAGTTTTTTAATATGGTCAGTTCTATATCCCAGCTGTCTTAGTTTTTTAATATGGTCAGTTCTATATCCCAGCTGTCTTAGTTTTTTTAATATGGTCAGTTCTATATCCCAGCTGTCTTAGTTTTTTAATATGGTCAGTTCTATATCCCAGCTGTCTTAGTTTTTTAATATGGTCAGTTCTATATCTCAGCTGTCTTAGTTTTTTAATATGGTCAGTTCTATATCCCAGCTGTCTTAGTTTTTTAATATGGTCAGTTCTATATCCCAGCTGTCTTAACTTATCTCCGACTTGAGTCAGGTACCCATTACAGCTGGGTAGACTCAGGGCATCCTACAAACTTCCCTGTTAATAAATTGTGCACTGTACAATCCCATTTCTTGTTAGATTCAGATATAATCTCTGTATCTGTTTAGGCTGACAATAGCTAAATGCCAGAGTTGACTGAACTTTGTTCTATAACAGGTCACACAACAGAGTGGCAGAACATGACCCTCGCGGGGTCAGAGGGCGTGGCTAAAGGCAGGGTTGACCAGAACAGTGTGTCAATACTAGTGGATCACTTCTAGGCCTAAACTGTCACACACCATCTCCCACATGACCTTTGACATCAACACACCACACACGCAGTACATCAAGACTCGCTTGCCACTGAGCCTTACCAAATAAATTGATATCAAATTATTTACCTGTAACAAACTTTGTCAGTATTGATGTTTCAACTATGCAGGCATTCATCTTTGTGTGATAGCAAATGTTATTTGTTATGTAAATATCATATTCATATACAACATATGTACAGATATTGGCTTCCATATGTAATGTTACATACTTTATGTTAATTTTTTTTCAGTCTGTCTTGAATTTTTTAAATCCTTTTATAAATATAATGAGAAGTAAATTTAACCATTCTAAAATCTTAAGGCATACATTTTATATCAGTTTACAAATTATTGACACATTGACATACAATCTTATGCAGCCTAAAATGTACATTAAATGTGTGGCATCAGTTGTGGAAGATTTCATGTTGTAAAAAAAGTTAATGTAAATGTATATTTTATTAACCAAAGTTGATTTTACTTGAATCAAAACAAAAATGTAAAACATTTATTTTTGTATAATACTGTCAACGTTAAAGAATTTTCTATTTTTTTTTTCAATTGTTGAAGCAGATAAAAAACATGTTGTTACGCCTAGTATTCCGTTATCTTCACTTTGTTTAGAAATACTTGATTCCAATCACTTTGTTGGTTGTTTTATTCAGAATTTGTTGTTGTTGTTTTTTTTAACAATAACTATTAAAACTGTTTCTTACTATGCATTTAAAAACATTTTCTCGTGTTCTAAAACTCTAGCTTTAAGAAATTTTGATTTTCTCCATTTCTAATGTAACAGGTATCAGCTTATAAGGTGCTTATATCCTAGATATCCATTGTTATATGTCAGCAATATTTTTACTTCCCCTGCTTTTATCCAAGGTACATTATCCTTATTTCCTAAAAATGTAATTTATTCCATTCACTTATTCCCTTTCATGTTTTTTAATTGTCAGTGACATCTTATACAAAGTGTTGTGGATCCAACAGCTTATATTTTCCTTGAACATTACCCACTTTAAAGTTGTAAAACAACATTTAATTAAAGTTCTTTGAATTTAATTCAGATTTTATTCCTTCTATTTTCAAAGTGTATATTATTTTAAATACTTTCACAACTTTGTTTACTATTTCACAATGCTGATTTTATTGCTGATTTAAATATATTATTTTTCATTACCAGTAACCTTTGTAAAGAAATTTTTTTTCATTCAAAACATTTATTTTAATTCAATATTTTTGTGACACTGTACTTAAAAAGAAAATTATGAGAAGTCTAAATACCAAAAATTGTATTTTAATAGCATACATAAATTTGTGTTAATTTTTTTTCATGTTTTTTAAACACAAAGCTATTTACACACTGATAATGTATGTGAAACATACATTTTTTAAAATTTGATGAACACACATACATACTGAGTATATTTACTGACCTGTCATCCTATAACTTTTTGACATGAGTTAAATAAACTTATATTCCAACTCTCATGGACATATTCATCTTTGGGCAGTTCTCTTCTTTTTCGATAAATAAAAATTTTTAATTTTACTGAAAGGTCTGAATCATCACAAAGTTCTGGTTTTGTTCAAGTCAGGATTCCATAAGTCATCGTGACATTTGCCTTAGAGACCATCGTTAAACAAATCCATAATTAATTTTTAAAAACTATTTTTAAAAGACCATGTTACCTTTCCTTTCTGAAGAGAACTTTTACAAAGATTAGTGTTTAAAAAAAACAAAGTCAATTTTTTATTTGTATTCTTGAAAGTTGTGACATTTTAATACCATCCAACTTTTAAAAGCAAAATGTTCTTTGCTTTAAAGTGTTAAAAGTTATTGTAAGACTAAGTAATTCCGAAAATTGGATACCTGTTCAAAAGTTTTGTTTAGATATATGTGTGTGTGTGTGTGTGTATATATATATATATATATATATATATATATATATATATATATATATAATCAATGATTCTTTAACTCACATACTGGAGTTAAGGTGTCAGTCCTGGCTATTCCTGCTCCATCCCCATCCAACCTCTGTATGTCATTACCTCATCACATACTCCCAGGCCCGGCGCTACCTATAAGGCAAACTAGGCGGTCACCTAGGGCGCTGTTCATAGGGGGGGGGGGCGCAAAAATGTGAAATCGCAATTATTTTAAAAGTACCTAATAATTTATAACTTTGATTAGATTACATTAACTATATACTTTACACAAAGGCATAGCGATCTTTCAAATTAGACCTATATGTAAGTATTCGCGTTGGTGAAAAATGTTAAAAGTAAAGTATATAGTTTCTATATAAATTCCATTTCGCTCTGGGTTCAAGTTTCCTTGATTCCTAGTCTTTGACCGACTTGCCAAATAAGAAAGAACACTATTCATAATTTTTGTTGGCCGTAAATGAGAAATTTTAAAACTTGAATATTCCAAGCCAGAAATGAATTTGAGCCTATCTCTGTGTGGTTTGTTGTCTCATGATGGATATACTTTGCAATGAAATGATTTAATTTAGCATTTAGTGAGTTAGTCTGATAATATATATCTAATGTGTATATATATATATATATATATATATATATATATATATATATATATATATATATATTAAGGGGGCCCAAAAAAAAATTTCAGAAGGGGGGGGGGGGCGCATTTTAATAACTTTTGCCTAGGGTGCTAAATAACCTGGTGCCTGCACTACATACTCCCCACCCCAACCATTAAAGCAATAGGACAGAGCACATATCTTTTGACAGTGATTAGAAAAATGTGCTTAGTTTCTATGAGTGTTCTTCAATTGTAAGGTTGTGTTAATTAGCTGTGATTACACATTTTTACTAGTAATATTTTTTTTTAAGTTCTTTACATTCAATTTTTTTTTATACAAGTCTGGTTGTTCATGTAAAATCTATATGGCCATGTACTGAGCTCTATATAAAAACACATTGATCTGTTACTTTAGTTAAGCCGTGTTTTCTATTTTTAAAAAATTAATAATTTATTGAGATTGGTTGTTTTTTTTTTGTTTTTTTTTTCTATTTTAAATTCTGGACAGGATGTTTCATTACCTTTATTATGCAAACCTTAAATAATAGATTTCTTAAATTAGTAAATAATCTACAAAGTCAGAATGTACACATTAAAAAAATAGTCTGAAATGTTGTGTACAAAAGTATTTTAAACCATCATTTTCTGTTATTTTGCTAATTTGGTTTGCAGAGTAAAAATATATATAAGTAAAATATATAGGGCCTAAATGTGTTCAAAAATATTTTGTATCCTCTAAATTTTGATTTGTTTATTTGCTTTTTGTTAGGATAGGAAAATAATTGAAATTTTGATTCATATAGAAGAATATTTGAAATGTTCAATTTTTTTATTGGACAATGCAATGCTAAACCAATGTGGTTCAAATACTGTATAAACCATGTTTATTTTGTTACATTTAATATAATATATTTGTAAGGATGTATACAAACTATGCAACTATATTTTCAAAATATACCTAAGTACATTATGTTTACATGTTCAATGCTAGTCACTATAGAAATGAAACTTATCATATTTTAGAAGTTTTTATTGTTTATTTTTTTTTAGGTTAAAAAATATATATACTCAGTGTTTTGAGGTAGATAAAGAGTTAATTTTTTTTCCAAGTAAAGTTGGATAACCTTTGTACTGTTGATATTATCATCTCCTTTGCATTCCTTTCTCTGCAGATGGCCATTCCTCCTATTGTTATCAATTATTGTATTGTGCATGCTTTTTTTTGTTCCCTGAAGGTCTTCATAGCCTGCTCCTACATCTGTAGTGTTACCTTCTCATTTGAAATGATTCATCAAATAAACTTGAACTATCTTTGTTCATTTGTTTTTTTTTTCAATCTATTGCCAGTGAGGTGTGTTTGTTAGTTATTTTTTGTGTTTTTTTTTTAAAGTAACTAGCACCTGTCGTGCATGTTGCTGCGATCTCGGAAGAAAATTAATTTAAGGACACACTACATAACCACAAATGTCAACTTTTTTTTTAGTTAGCGCCATATTCATGTTGTACTAATGTTAATCTATCACACATAACAATATGAAAGTGTAAACCCATGCAAAGGATCTCAAACACAAATTCTCATTTTTTTTTTCCTAGAAGTAGAAAACTGTTTTTTTTTCCCCTCTGGATTCAATTGTTACTAATCGTTATGAAAGGGATTTGCATAGGATAGAGGACTAGGATAAAATATCCTTTAATTTTAAATTGTATTTATGTCCATACTATTTTAATTCTTAATTGTATTTATGTCCATACTATATATTGTTAAACTGTAATTTAGATTGATCTTAATAGCTGTAATAAAGTTTCCCTTTCAAACCTGACGGTCTATGGGGCAAGTGAAGTAGAGTTCACTTGTTTCTGTGACCTCGACATATGAAGAGATAGTGTGGTCAGCACTATGCTCAGCCGCCTTTACTTACCCTAACGTGAGTTAGGTACCGATCAGAGTTGGGTGGACTCATGGACGGTCTACTTACTTGAACCCGGATTCGAACTCGAGACTAACGGTTAGCAGTCCAGCTCTCTACCGCTAGACCACTCTGTCCCATAATAGCTGTAATAGGAATAGCCAGGGGCATAGCGAGGGGGGGGGGCGAGGGTGCGCACAGCACCGGGTGACACCATTTAGGGGGGGTGACACCATTTAGGGGGGTGACACCAAGGCAAAAAATAGCAGAATATATAGAGAAAAACTTGCGGGGGGTGCAAATTGAAAGTTTGAGGGGGGGAGGGGTGCAAAGCGAAAGCTTGAGGGGGGTTGCAAATCGAAAATTTGAAAGTTTGTCCCCAGTAAGGGTCGCTACGCCTCTGGGGGGGGGGGGGGTGACACCATTAAGTGCCGCACCGGGTGACACCCGACCTCGCTACTCCACTGGGAATAGTAATTAGTGTGCTCGACTGTACGTCCACTCAGAGGCATCTCTTCGGGGGGGGGGGCGGGTGGGCTACCCTGGACTACTTATCGAAGAAAGTCTACCAATCCCCGAAAAAGATAGAATTTATATAGGAAACATTTTTACCGGTGTCACTGTCAAGTGCCAATCTCCCCCCCCCCCCCCCCCCCCCCACACTCCACCCCGGAAGAGAAAAAAACTGGAATAACACTGCGTCCACTCACTATAGATACAAGCCGTCACATTGTAATTACTGGTGGCGACACTACGGCGGGCGGTTTGGAGGAAACAAAAATAGAAGACGCGCAGAGCCAGGCTAAAAATGGTCTGTCTCCCCCAGTTATCACAGCCCGTCATCCTTACGTCAGCCGGTGGGGAGTGAGGGGGGAGGCGCTCTCGCTGAAGCTGTTGACATACCGTATTGTTTATGTTTAGACTAAATATGGTCGCTTCCATAGGAAGTTATCAGTAGGGTCTGGCATTTTAATTAGGTATTACAGAACTGTGGCGACATAGGGGTCATCCATAAATGACGTCACACTCGTAGGAGGAGGGGGGGTCCGTAATTTTGTGACGATGTGTGATGAGGGGGAGGGGGGGGGGGGGTCAGATGTTGCGACGTCACATTTTTGCATTATAAAAAAGCAATGTTAGAAAACGAATTTTAGACGTTATTTCGCGTTTTAGATAACTGTTTTAATAAATTGTAATAGTTTAGACAAGATTTTGGAAAAATATCAATGTTTTAAAAAAATTCAACTGCAATTTTGAGGTGGTTGTAGGTTGAGGTGTGACGTCATTTTAGGGGGGGGGGGGTCTGGCTTTTTGTGACGAAGTGTGACGGAGGGGAGGGGGGAGGTAAAAATCGTCAGAAAAAGCGTGACGTCATTTATGGATGACCCCATACCAATTAGGTTAGGCTTGATATCACAATAAAAACAGTTCACAGGTTTCCCACGCAGCCGGGAAACCGGGAAAAAAAACGCGAATTTCGAAATTTAATTACCCGGCCGTGAAAACCGGGAATTTTGATAAATAGCCGGGGAAAATCTTTAACGAATGGTGTTAGGGCTCTGGGGTTGTAAACACACGCATGCGCAGTACCATCGAAAACATCGCCGCGATGGCAAGTCTTAGTTTCTCTCCATTGCGCATGCGTATCTTTTTCCGGCTAGCATCGGCCAATCTTTAAACCGGGAATTTCTTGCCTCCCAGTGTTGTTTTTTTTAAAGACATTCCGGGTAGCGCGAGATTTCGACGGGCTAGTCTCGGCGCGTCTCGTGATGCGATATGCCATAAAAACCAACGGATTATTATTACTGGCGATCTTCGGAGAATTGACTTGGTAAGTTTTTATAAATATTTGTAGATGAATTATAAAAATTGCCATGCGTATACAACTACACAAATTACATATAATTAATCCAAAGTTAATTTGCACTCTCTGAATATATAATTCATAAAAGTATTAATTAATTAATATTTCCACAAGCTTTTGCAATAAATTTGATTATTGTTAATTCACTACTAGCTTTAGATTGCTGGTTTAGCTACGTGTTAAGAAATGTTTATATGGTAGGTCAGTGGCGGATTAAGGGGGGTGCTGAAAGGGCTGCAGCCAGGGGCCCACGAATTTTAGGGGCCCCCAAATTTTGATTTCTCAACTACAGCAAATATTACTTTATTAACTTTATCATTGATTTTTTAACAGCTTAGTTAAATTATTTTTTTAATGTCAGAAGTATGAGTTAAAATTTCACCAAGTATTAACCAGCATCACTTAAATAAAAGCTTTATCAGTGAATGTGCCGAGACAAGCAATATCCATCAGATACTCTCTGATCTTTAATGTTTAATGTTGCCTTATTTAACTCTCTACCTGACATCGTTAGGCCTACCGATAGAAAATGTTTTGAAAACCATTTAAAAACACATAGTGTCGAGGCTGAGGGAGGGTGGGGGTGGGGGTATTTGTATGAGGGGTTGTTTGCGTATTGTCATAGCGTAGCTTATATAGATAAATATAAGACTAGACTAGGCCTAGTAGAGACTAATAGGCTAAGGACGGTGTAAACTTGACGGTAGACGATTTTTGTCGAGAGTATGTGTTACATGGGTGTTAAATTTGGGAAAAAACGTCCCAGTTGTAGGGAGGGTCTGATATAGCGAATAGGATGGTTAGACACAGAAGAGTTTTTTTTTAAGTATTGACCTTTTGACCGAGTGGCTTAGAGATTTTAAAAAATGCGAAACATTTCTTCTTCAAGGCACACTCTCACTCGTATTAATTGCACTATAGGAATTGCCAAACCGGCCAAGAGAGAAAAAGCCTATAAATAAAGGCGTTACCGCTGTCCCTCACGGTAATACAAAACCGGATGAGACTCTTTTTGCATGGCATGGGCATCTCCCCCCCCCCCCCCACACACACACACACCCGACATGTCCCCCAACTGTCTCCCCGCCCCGAAGTTTCACCCATTAAAACATTTGAGTTCTGAATTCCTTGGAATTTAGCCGTAGTGAATGTTTTCGCCTTGATAAGTAATTTTTTTTTAAAAGCGGAGGCTCCGGTAAAAAAAAAAACTTTTGTAATAGTCGTTAGAAAA